GGATTCGTCTTTCGAATTCTTAACAAACGCTACGAAAGGCTATAAGACAGAGCATGCAATTATGATATTTATTATGGAAAATCATCTGCAAAGTGTTGAAAATTGCATGAAGATGCGATTTTAAATACATACGAGATATGTCAAAAGCTATACGATATATATGAAGTTAAAGTATCTTTGCTTTGCTTTCTCTTCCAAGTAATGGCAAAATAGTGCGTAAGTAAAGAATTACTTTTCAGAGATTTGTTCCTAATTGAATACATCGTTCTCAGCGCTTGCTAGGTTAGTGTTAATGTTTCAAGTTTGTTGAAATCAAGATATCGTCGACCCCTTATTATTATCAATTACATGCTGTTCGTAGGAAATATTGATTTTAAACTCGAAGTAGTTCATTTAAAAATTCAATTAGACTGCGAAATATAAATTTGCACAAATCCTCCAATACCTCACAAAGGCAACTAACTATCTTGTAGTAGGGTGTGCAAGTAGAAGATGTACAACGAATTGCCTAGCGATCCCAAGTCAATCGTTATTGTAAACCGCAAATATGCCCGCAAGACTACAAGCATACAAATCAAGTTGGTATACCTTGTAGTATACATATAGAGAGGACGTAATAAGTGAATAATTTCAAGCAAACACGCGCGAAAAGAATTTTTTATTTATTTAATTTTTCAATTTCAGAAAAATTTTGTTTCTTCGATACCGACTCACTTGTTTTGTGTGTATTATCTTAACCATACAATTATTTATTTATTTATTATACAATTCTTTTACTTTTTAGTTCGTCTTATACGATAGGAGTCAAACTTTCAATATTTGTATACTAGTGATGTTCTTTGTACACACCTCTTAAGCATTTAATGAGTCATTGACCTTTTATGAAATCTTTTCTTAACCTGTTTATGTTTGTAATTCGTGTACAGACAATAACTGATATCATGTGAATCTACTTGAGACTACTACTACACTACTGTGCCACTTAATATAAAGTAAAAACCAATTCAAGACTAAAACCAATACGAGAAGACAATGTTCTAAATAGAACATTGATTGCTATATTAAAAAAGAATAGCTTTTACGTTGATTGGTCTCGCAGTTGAATATCACTTTGATGAGTTTTACATCTTTTTACTTAGAGCAGAAGGAAATACAAATGTTGGTTAAGACGGCAAATCATAGATTAGGACTTTGCCGTCCTAATATCTTATGTCTAATATCTTATGCAATATCTTTCATGCAAGTGGAAGTGGAAGAGAATTGATTCTCTTGTAACCTTTAACCTTGTCTCCTTGTTTGAAAACTTACACGATAAGAAACTTAAACTTGATGAAAGTGGAAATGATATATATATATATATATATATATATATGTTAAAATTTGGAACCTACATAGGCACAAGGGCACAACTTTAACTGGCGGCATTCTAAAGCTATTGAACTGATGCTTGACTCATCGAAACAGACAAATCAGTCTCGATTAATCAAGTTACGTAACGATCATGATCACGAATGTACGCGTAACCCTTTCTTACTTACTCTGCTTAGAGCAGAAAGCATATTAACATAGTTTTGCAAATCTGTTAAACGGATAATAAAGCTGATGGATGAATCATTGTCCATCCATTCGTCCGACACTTTGCTAATCCGGTTTTTTGAAATAGCTTTTCCAGCCATAAGAGTTTAGTCTAAAACGATTGGTCTTTTTATTACATTCATTAAATTAAACTTAGAACGAACCTCCGATACCCGCCACTAAAATAGTCGTAGTTTTAGTAAAAGTATATATGTCAGTTAGCTGATCGAAAGGTTGTTTATATCGTTCTTTTAGCCAATTCATGCACTTTAGCATATAATAGATAACCACATTCGGTGAACAGTAGATTTTCGCCTTTTGTGGCAGGAGATAGTGTTCGCGTGAGGAAATATTACGCGAAGAGAATGCATGCTGGATAGGTTACATTGTAACATCAGCTAATATAGACAAGAATTAGCCAACATATCGGACGGTGAGGATCAATCACAGAAATGCGTTTCTTCAGGTATTGGCTGTTAAAAGCTTGCACTAGCTATCTCGAATACTAATTGCAATCATTCGCTTGAAGTAGAGAACCATAAGTTTCGCTCACCCAGCGCATTCTACTTTCATACAAGATGTTTAGGCTAAGAACATACATATCCTTAATAGCAATTAATACACTTGTATGTCGAGCAAACAAACAACTGTACCCTGAGTTTCGATTAAGGGATATGATAGTCTAAACGAACGTGATCTTATTGAATTCGCTAACCCTAAGGGTACTCTTTAAAGCGGTAGAAAGCATTTTACGTGAGGTGTGCATGAACAGAGAAGTTAGATCATGCCACTCATGTCACTCAAAAAATCCTTGATAATTTTTCAGTTTAGTTTTTTCGAGTTGAGCATTAATGAAGAAAGAAAGTTTCTCGTCGTGTGAGAAGAAGTTATCTAAAATTTTGCATTAGGCGCCAAGTCAGCGTCTCTTTTGCACATTGATGGGTTATGCAAAATTCTATCTATTCGTTCCATCTTTGACGAGCTCTTTAATAATAATGGAACTACTTAATAGAAATCTTTCTAGAATTATTGCGTAAATGTGTAAATATTTGATCACTATACTTCTTACAGGGGGATTTGAATAGTTGAAACTGTCATGGAAATCCCATTAGGTTTATACATTTTGGATCAATCAAGTTAATTGATTTAGAGATATGTACATTTATCGGCTCGAAAAGTAACTTATATCGCAATGGTTTAATGTCTTCTTATCAACGTCCCGGTTAAGCTTAAAAGTCAATTAAAACTATATCTGAATCCGTTTAAACATTTTTTTATACCGTCTGTCCGTCTGTAAAATGTTTGTTGTAAACATTCTCCCTTCCGGAAAAATGAAGCTATCGACTTCAAATTTGGCAGAAACATTAGGAGATTGCTATTGAAAATGGGCCAAATCAGTCGAAAGACGCGCCCACAATACTAGGTAAACTGAGAACATCTCTGTTTTTGATAGGAAATGAAAAATTGGTTTTTTACTCATTACTCATAAGCCATAGCAAATAAATGTACAAAAATTTGAACACATATTCTATGGGCGATGCTGTAGCCTCTGTATCTTGTATCAAAGTTTATCATTTTTTCCAATACCTTTATAAGGCACAGAAACAAGATTTAAAAACGCCCATAATATGTATGCAATCTTGGGCAGTTTGAAGAATGTCTATCTGTCCATCTGTCCATCTGTCCATCTACCCACTACCGCATAGAAACTCTGATAAACATTCTTCCGTTAGCGAAAATAAAGACATCGCTTACAAAAGGACTTAGAAGTGATTTCAGCTTTTCTAGGGGCATATCTACGATCCCCAGACGCCTGTGCGACAAAATGGAAGAAATCAGCAGCGTCCATTCCGTATTATAGAGCATGAAAATTTCTTTCTTTCACTTTTCTTTGTCTTGTTGTTCAGGATAGCGCTGATGGGTATAAAAGATTCAATCAGGGCCGAATATAATTTTCTTACTTGTTTTATATCATCAATGTAAATTTTTGATTGTAACGTTAAGTTAATAAACCTTTCTTTGCCTTATGAAAGTGCTTTAATTACATTTGAAAATTAACAAACTTAGATTAATAATCTGCCCACAGTAAGTGTAGATTATAGATTAGAGCGATCAGGCCGACTTAAAATGTTTGAAAAATTGTCTTCAAAATCAATCGTCCAAACTTCCAATAAAATATTGTATACATATATGTAAAATTATATACGATATACGTAATGTACGATAATTTAAAAATGTAAATTTTCCCGTTCGCTTTACTTATTCGAGGACAGATACTTTGCTGATTCAAAAGCAAAGCAATGCATGGCTAATGAGAACGCACTCGATACAACTAATGCTTGACTGCTGTAGTCAAACTAAAATTGAATCTAAACCGTTTTATGAAAAACTTTTATAGATCATTTTGAACAAGTATTCCCTGCGTAAGCTTTGCTTTAAAGACTCAACTGTAAAATGTCGTGAAGAGCGCATACAACTGAGCAAAATTAATCATTCCTTAAATGATTATTATAGATGATGTATCTTTCCCTAGGCACAGCCTTCATTAAATTAATTTCACAAAGACACGATTTTTCCAACTACCTACAACCAACTACGATGTTCTTCAATTTTCAAAAATAAAAAGAAATTAAAAAATTTCCAAAACAACAATATGTTGTTTGTTTTCTTGTAAAAAAATATCGCAGCAAAAAATTTACAATTAGTTTAGGGTACATTTTATATGTATGCAGTATATATATATATATATATATATATATATATGCAGCTTTTTGCTAAATGCATGGGAATATATTATGGTTAATATGCTTTAAAGCGACTCCTTGTCGCTTGTTATAAACAAATATTTAATCGATAAGTGGAAAAATTCTCTTATTCGTCTTCGTGTAAATATTTGCCCGATAATGGAATTTGATCTTGTATTTGTACTTCAAATTTTAAAGGGGAGGGACAGACAATTGATTACGACTAACGATAAATGCGAATCTCATTCTCTCCCATAAACAAAATGCATAAAATGCATCTCTGCTGAAGAGTCGGTGATGCGGATTTCGCCAATTACAAACGGAATGACACAATCGATATCCATGATCCTTTCGATTAGTTGAGTGATGAGTGCAAAGATGCCGGCAATGATATTAACTTTATAAGCGAACATTTTTCTTTACATCTCTGAAATTCGGTGAATCGTTAAAGCGAAACAAAAGACTTAAGGTACAAAACTTTAAATAGCGAAAACTTAGCGCTACACTCTCGGAAGGCATAAATAAGTGTCATTTGGTTATTAGTTTTTTTTTTTTTTTTTTTTTTTTTTTTTTTTTTGTTTTAATAAAAACTTTTTATTTTTATTATAAAATAATTTTTTGTTTTTTTTTTTTTTTTTTTTTCTTTTTTTTTTTTTTTGTTAGTCTTAAATCAACACTTACTATTATTGTGTATTTCATTATGATTGTCTTTTTCTTTTGTTTTATTTGCGTTTATTATTTTTCTTTTCTCTGCTATATATATACATATATATTTATATATTTATTTATATATATTTTTTTTTTTTTTTAAATTATTTTTAGTTTATTAAATGTATTTATTTTTTTTTTTTGCTTTTTTTAATATTTTTCAAAAGATATCCTTTATTTTATACGAAAACTTTTCGTCTTCGAGTTTTCAATTTAATAATCTTAAGCTCAGTCACTCAATCAATTGATTAATTTACACTGGCCTTGAATATAGTAGAGCGAGACGTTAACATGACAAAATACTATGGCAAACTGTGTTGTTTATCGTCCTCAACACTGTTTTATATAAGTCTTTGAATTTCCATTAACAAACAAACGAGCAAACAAACAAACATTTAAGGCTGCCTGCGTTTTTGAATTATACTAAGGAAACGATGTGCACAGAAGAGAGTGTAAGTGCGTGCGTGAGCTTTGTAAATATAAAAAGACATTAAAGCAAAAACGGTTATAAAAAAAGAGACAAGAATAAATTATGCTTAAGCGAATATGAAATGAAAAGTAGTTTGTGTATGAAAAGAATTTTACGCATCACAAGAATAGAAACATAAAAAATAAAAATAAAAAAATTAATAAAAAAAATAAAAAATAAACAAAGAATTAACTTAATATTTTGCTCATATTCATTTTATACATAATAAGATTAATTTTAATTATCTTTTATATAAACAGCGATTTCACCTTTGCTAAAAGGCATACGGGACAGACGAAAGGAACTTTTTATTCGCTACCCGTTCACTTTGTTCTTAAAAAATTGAATAACAAAAACAAAAAGCTAAACACCCTCCGAAGCTTATGGAAGTAAATCTATTCGAAAGTTTAGGAGAGTGCTACAAACATAGCATGCTATGTAAGTGTAAGAATTGCATTTAATAACCGCTTTAACCGCGTTTCTCACACGCGCTATTCTCTATATTATGTTGCATCTAATATATAAACTAGAACTTAACAATAAATCTTTTAAAATAATAATTTTTTTTAATTTTATGTGAAACATACGAGTAGAATATTTGAAAAATAAAGGAACTTACCCACACACATACACGCACACACAAGCGCAAGTGGATTCCTTTAATACCTTACTATACTTGTTTCTCTACGACTTGTGATTGCGGATTCATCCATTCACAATATATCGATCCTATACCCTACACTTGGTCATATATATATATATATATATATGTCATGTATATTTAAAAGCATATTTTCACAACATTTTACAATAGTTTGCAGGCACACATTTACATATATCTTATCTTTTTAAAAAAATCTTTTTTTATATCGAGATCGAATGCTTCACTATTTTGACTTAAGAAAAAGAAGAATTTATGTTAAGCTTTGGATCTAATTTGATAAAAGTGAGAAAAAAAATTTAGTTCTTTTCAAGCAAAGTCTATATGGACTGCAATCGTGTTATCGGTGGAAGCATTACTAATACTTACAAATGATTTCCGAATTTTTTTCCAAATTATATTTGACGTGAACGATAAAACAGATTAGATTTTGTTCTTGTTGTTGTAAATTGTAAGAGATCGTTGTTTTCCACTTCCATGCATTGAATGCGACGAGAGTTCAAATAATGAGCGAATACGTTCAAGACCCGTTCAAAATCATGATCATGACTATATTATGCAGACTAATGGACATGGAGATGCAAATCAATGAAAAATGTTTACGTTTTTTCAAGTTCTCAATGCATTTTTCAAATGCTATTAAAATGTATAAGAAGTCAAATAAAGATGCGGTCGCTAGCGTATGCAATGGAGAGGTATGGCGTTAAAGTTGTGAAGTAAAAGAAATGAAAAAAAATTTAAATAATGGAAATTTTTTCTTAATTTTATATGCGATCTGAAACTTTATAACGGTTCTATACACTACTCTTTATTTCTTTGCTGCTACGATGAGAAGAGAATATTGTTCAACTAATTGGTTTCTCATTAAATTATCGCAGGCTTCGTTAATTGATCTATATATATATATATATACATATGACCTTCATGTTGAGCATAAATTAAGAGTTTATTGTTCTACAAAAACCAGAAGTTAGGCAGGAACATGTTACAGAAAATAAAAAAATAAAAAAAAATTGTGTTCTTCTTCTTTTAACCATTTTCTCATCATTAAGAGGAGAAGTACTTGAAAACAAAAAAAAGCACCGTTGACGCCGTACATTGAATGTTGGTTACCCATCTTCGACTTACCAAATGCTTATCGTCGTTTATTGCGCTCCTTTGTTAAAGAGGGCTTAGGAGAATCCATCCTATTTGGTCATGTCCGCTTAACTGTGCGTCCGCTTATCAATTAGAAGAATGAATTCTTCTCATTTTTATCCAGAGCATTAAAATTGCATTTACTCGCGTTAGCTTAAGGGAAAAAATATCAATTAAATTATTGGCTAAAGCAAATAAATTATAAATATTTCTTTGGATTTTTTATCCAAATACATTTCTAGAGTAAATATTCAAATATGTTGTAATAGGTAAAAGCTGCTATGTTATGTTAAAGCATCTCTTTATCTATAGCAAGCAATCCGTGCAGCATAATACATTTCATCTTAAAGAACAATTTTATGCAAAAAAGAGATTTTTTTTTTTTCTTTCTTTTTTGATTAAATGAAAATTCGAATTCAAAACATAAGAGCATGCATCCGATCTACACTATAATCAGCTTAAAAATTCTGAATATGCCTCATAGAATCGCGTCGAATACATTTGTATTACTCATGGATTTGAGATCAAGAAGAAGAAAGAAAGAATTTTGGGTGGAAATATAATTAATTAAGAAACCTGGAATAACATAAACTAATCACTGCGCACGCATTGCTGTATAAGATAAATGGCATAAGATTTTCATGATAAAAGATCTTGTTTCCGTTGAAATCATGAAAACTTCAGATCATAATTTATGTTTTTATCTATGTTTTCCAATACAAGTGTTACTCGAATGTATTGAAATTGTACGACAAATACAACTGGCGCCGAATCCATGTATCGCATTTAATTATAGTCTAAAATTGGCGGCCAACATTCTTAATTAAGCGGTTTTATGGTGCACGTATTCTCAAATCTTCCAAACGTCATAGTATAACAAAATTTATCACAAACTCATTTCCTGTTAATGTTTGTGCATAAAAAGACAAAAACTCCCATACGTTACTAAAATAGAATCAATTGAGGCAAAGAAGAAGAAAGTCACATATATATAAAAGAGATTGAAAGCAATCTTAGATGAACCCACCACGAGCCCAAAGATAATGTAAAAATTGCTCATTATTTTATTGATTGAACGAATTGAATTTCACTAAGCCGATCGGGGTCATTAAGCATGCGTTTCTTGTAAATTCTTCTAAATTGATTTAAAATATTTTTCGGCCAATCACTGCTGCAATTTTTTAAATCGTCATATAAGCGGGTCTTTCTA